GCTGGCCCCGTCCCCTCCGAGGAGACGCGGGCCTGCCCCTGGCTGGGCGCGCCAACCGGTGTCCGGGTCTTGCTGTCTAATTTGGAACCCAGACTGTCAAAAATAGCCCCTCACCACCCGCTTCCTTCCTGTAACATCTAATGAAGGCCACGGCTTTCAAGTGCGCGAATGCAGTGTCTGTGGCAGGGAAGCGGCAAGCAGAGGGTGGCTCCTGGGTGGGCCTGTCCCTGGGGGGACACGTGGGGCACCTTCCAACTCAGCCCCCCGCCCAGCCTTTCCCAACAGCTGCCGGTGGGAAGGAGGAGGACCGGCGGTTCTGTCCCCTCGCCCCGCAGTGAGCTGCTGCCCACCGGCAGCTCCCGCGTGAGGGTTTTGAGCATTCCAGGAGCCAGGACAGGGTCCCCTTTGGCCCTGTGAGACCCCAAGTTTACAGATGAGGAAGCCGAGAGTCAGAGAAGTTAGGTAACAGGTCCAAGATCACACAGCCAGCAAGCAGAGGGGCCCCTCCCTCGGCCCGTGCCCATCGCCCAGGCCAGGCCGGAGGGGTGGGCTCCTCGGTGGGACCCACCGCCTCGCCGGAATGAGGTCTCCTGACCACGCCCGGGGGTCTCCGGGCAGCCCCCAAAGTCATCGCCCAGCCTGCACGACTCCGGGGCCGGGGGCGGCACTAGCCGGGCAAGCAAGGACAGCGAGCGTGAGGACACCCCTAACCCCCAGCGCTGGAGGCGGGAACGAGGCTAGGAGCCACGGACCGGAGGGGCGGCCCTGGGGCCCGAGGAAAGTGACCGAGGAGGGTCCGAGAGCAGACAGGGTGGCCCGAGTTGGGCCTGCAGGGGCGCCCGCCCAGCCCCTCCTGACCAGCTGGGCCTGAGAGCCGGCTCTCCGGCTCCCCGCCTGCCTCTGGGGCGGGCAGGCGTGCCCCCGGGGAAGTCTCCGCCGAGGGCACCCCGGCAGAGCCCCGGGGAGTGGGGCGGCTGCTGGACGAGTTCGCGCACTTCGCTCAGAGCGGCACGGGGCGCTCGGCAGGATTTGCTTCTCAGCTGTTTGCTGCGGCTGTTCTGAGTCGGGGTCTCACTCTGCCACCCCGGCTGGAGTGCAGCGGCGGTCGTGGCTCCCGCCAGCCTCCACCCCTTGGACTCCCGTGGTCCTCCCACTCGGCCTCCCCAGTGGCTGGGACTACAGGCACGCGCCACCCCACCCGGCCCATTTTTAAAATGTTTCCAGAGGCAGGGCCTCACGTGCTGCCGGGCTGGTCTCGAACCCCTGGGCAGCCCGCCCTCCACAGCCTCCCGAGCCGCTGAGCCGCTGCGGCCAGGCTGAGCGGTGGTTTCTGTGACTGCGAGGAAGGCCGCGACTGTCCTCACCTGCAGTGCACGAATGACGGGCCCCGCGTGGGGCAGACATTCCTGCCGCTGGTTGATCTGGTCGAGAAAGCTGAGGACACCCCCCGGCTCACTGGGGACCCCGTGGTCAGGCCAGCTCAGGTACTGATAATGCCAGATCTCGCGGACCAGGTCCCCCTGGGCCAAGGACAGGCCGTCAGCGCCCCCGCCCCCGCACACAGCCCCCGGCGCATCCCGTCCGACCAGACGCCCAGACACGTCCGAGGGGGACCCGGGAGGGGGCAGGCAGCCGGAGTGCTCACGTTGTCCAGCGGGGAGACCTGGAGCGTGCGCAGCTTGTACTCAGCCGTGTCGTGCTCCTCGCAGTTGGCCACCGAGTAGAGCCCGTAAGCCCGCTGCATGCCCACCTCCGGCCAGTACGGCACACATTTGTTCTGGGGGTGGGGGTGGGGCTCAGAGCCGGCCGCGGGCCACTGAGGCCCTGCTCCCGCCCTGAGGGCCCAGGCTGGCCCGAACACCGGACACCGGGATCTGCCCTCCGAGAAGCCCCCGCAGGCGGTGCGACCGGCCGCCGCCTCACTCAGCAACATTGCCAAGGCCCTGCCCCACCTGCGGCCGTGCAGACCAGGCAGCAGCCACACACGGGAGGCCCAGGCCGGCCCGCACGGCCAGGCGCTCCCAGGGACACCGGGAGCAGGAAACACAGGCCACGCCTGGGATCCTGGCAGAGGAAGAGGCCAAGCCCCTCTCGGTGATGCAGGAAACCAGAGATGGCTTCACAGAGGTGTCACTTGAACTGGGTCCTCAAAAAACTATGCCAGGCAGAGAGTGGAGAGAGAACGCACTTCCTAGCAGAAAAGGAGCTTGTGCAGAGGGTCCGGGAGCCCGAGAGAGAGGCTGGCCCACTGGGACAGTGAGCATCATGGGAGGGGTGGGGTTGGAAGCCACAGGCCTTGAATGCCAGGCCTTGGAGTGCGACTTTGTCCCAGAGGCACCTGGGATCTGCTGATGCTTTTTAGAGAGGGAGCAACTTGATCCGATGTGTGTCAGGATGGAATCACTTTGCAGGGCAGAGGGTGCTGCAGGGCTTGCAGGGACCTCCAGGACAAGGGCGACCCCAAGAGATCCGTGAGGCGGGAGGACGGGAGGGGGCCCAGATGAGCGAGGGCAGGAGGGGGTTTTGTTTTCATTTCTGAGCCAGAGTCTCACTCTGCCGTCCAGGCTGGAGGGCAGCGGCCGTTCCCGGCCCCCACAGCCTCGACCCGCCGGGCCCGGGCTCCGGCGATCCTCCGGGCGCAGCCTTCCGAGTAGCCGGAATTACAGGCGCGCGCTACCACGCCCGGCTGATTTTTGGATTGATTGTCGAGAAGTGGTTTTGCAAGTTGCCCGGGCAGATCTAGGACCCCTGGACCAGGCCGTTCTCTTGCCTCGGGCTCCCAAAGTGCCGGGATTATCGGCATAAGCCACCGCGCCTGGTTTAGGAAGGAAAACTTAAAACCCGCGACCGGGCCAGGCGTGGTGCCTCATGCCTCCAATCCCAGCACGCTGGGAGGCAAAGGCAACCGGGTTGCCTGAGTCCCGAGGTTTGAGACCAACCTGGGCACCTTGGTGAGGCCTCGTCTGTACAATAAACCAAAACATTCACCGCGCATGGGGGTATGCACCTGTAGTTCCAGCTACTTGGAAGGCTGAGGCAGAAGGATGGCCTGAGCCCAGAAGGTTGAGACAGCGGTAGCTGTGATCATGCCACTTTACTCCAGCCTGAACAACAGCCTGAGACCCCGACTCAAGAATAAATAAATAAATTAAAATTAAAAATAAGTCCCGGCACAGTGGCTCACACCTGTACTTTGGGAGGCCAAGGCAAGTGGATCACCTGAGCCCGTGAGTTTGAGATAAGCCCAGACAACTTGGCGAGACCTCGTCTCCACAATAACTCCAAAATTAGCCAGGCATGGTGGCACGTGCCTGTATTTCCAGCCACTCGGAAGGCTGAGACGGAAGGATCGCCGGAGCCCAGCAGGTCGACGCAGGGGTGGCCGTGAGCGTGCCCCTGCCCTCCAGCCTGAGCGACAGAGTGAGGCTCCAACTCAAAAATAGATAAATAAATAGATGAAAATTAAACAATAAGAAACCAAATAAACCCAGCCTGGAGCCCAGAAGAACCCAAGACGGGAAGCAGAGACAGGGAGTTGCAGGGTGGAGTGGAGACTGTCTCCAGGCCTCAGTTGCCCAGCAAGGGCTGGACCCTGCCCTCAGATGACCCCTTCTGACCCGGCATCCAGAGCTCCTCTGACCTCACGGTGGTGGGCAAGGGCGGCGGGGGGGTGGGGATGAGTGGGCTCAGACTCCACCTACCCGACCTTTCTCCACTTCCCGCGTGGTCATGACGATGACCCGCGTGTTCTCCTGCCACACCATCTGCCAGAAGTCGCCGACGGTGGCCTCCAGGCAGCCCTGGCTGGCAATGTAGGTCTTAGTGTTCTCGTCGGGGCCGAGCAACAGGTTCTAGACGTGAGCACAGAGACATCCCCGGACGTGAGCCGGCGGCCGGGGACGGGCCCGGAGCCGCCCCTGCCCAAGATGCCAGCTCCAGCTCTGCCGGGGTCTCGAGCCAGGGGGCTCCCGGAGTCCGGGACGTCCCAGAGCCCAGCCTCTCCTCCCGCGGGACCCCCACCGCTGACCTTGACGTAGTTGGCATTGATGTAGTCGGACCCGGGGACGTTGCTGTCCCGTCCCTGCAGGATCACGCGGCTGTGGTCAACTGGGAGTGGACAGAGAAGATGCAAGACGGCCGGGACTGGCGGGGGACGCCCCACCCCCAGCCTGGGCCAGCCCTTCTTAGGCCAGCAGGCCACGCTGGTCTCAAAGGCCTCGAGGCCTGAAGGACGGTGGGGCGGGGGGCACGACGGGGGGACTTCGCAAGAAGACTGCGGGGGGGGGGGCGGGGGGAGGGCAGGAGGCACCCGCCTGTGGGCGGGGTGGTGAGCTCCTCTGGGAGCAGGGTTTATTTGGGTTCTATTGTTTAACTCCGGAGGGGGCGGCTCTGCTGGGGGTCGGTCCCCTGGGAGAGGAGGGGAGGGCGGCCGCCGGCGGCTCACAAGGGAGGATGTTCTTGTAGCGGTTCTTGCCCTTGTTCTCGGGCCGCTGCCCTTCCAGCCGCTGGTGCAAGTTCTTCACCTCCTGCTTCTGCAGACTCTGAGGGCCGCAGAGGGGCGTCGCGGGTCACATGGGCAGGGGGGTGCCAGAGGCCCCGCGCTGCGGCCATGGCCTCGGGCGCCCCGCCCCGCCGCCCCCCACACACCTCAAACTCCTCCCAGAAGCCGGCCTTGGCCTTGTCCTCGGACTCCTGCGTCTTGTTCAGCTCCAAGACCCGGTTCTCGATGTCGGCCGCGTTCACCCGGGTGGCGTAGTACGGCTGCGGGTGGGGCGGTAGAGGTCAGCGGCCTAGAGTTGCGGGCGCGCGCTGCCCCGCCAGGCTCGGGGAAGAGGCAGCGGCCGGCGCACCCTCACCTGCCGCAGGTAGACAAAGGCGCCCGAGGCCTCCTCGATGGCCGTCTTCTTGAAGTGCTCCACCAGGTCCGCGAGGCTGTCGAAGGTCTCCGAGCCGCCCACCGTGTAGCGTCCTCCCTGGGGCACCAAGCCAGGCCACCCTGGGGCCTGAGTCTCCCCCAGACCCCAGCCTTGAGTCCACGCCAGGCAGACCTTCCCACCGCCCACGCGGTGGCCCCAGGTGGGAGCCCCGCCGGATGTGACCTTACCTCACACATGATCTTGATGTGGGTGACCCTGAGTGGGGAGCCAGGGCCGGCCTTGGGCTGGTCGCTGAGCACGGACAGCACGAAGTCTCCGGGCTGGCTGAGACTCTCACGCACCAGGAACGTCCAGGGCTCGCCCTTGGCCTGCAGCAGCGTCTCCGCCTGCCCTCCAGACATGTGGCCATGGTACCACCTGGAGGAGCCAGCAGCAGGGGGTGAGGCCAGGCCCCCGAGACAGACACAGCGTGGGCAGGGAGACCGGCACCTGCCGCATGGAGGGCACCGGGGGGACGCCTCCAAGCCCGCCTCCCGAGCTGGGTCGATTACACCCCTGCAGAAACGCTGTGGGGTTGGGACTGTTCCCACGTTGCAGGTGGGGAAACCCAGGCTGAGCAGGCCCGACTCCCGGGAGGCCAGCCTCAGGGGCTCCAACCAGGCTTTGAACCCAGAGCCTTCCTCTGAAGAGCAGAAAGGGCCGCAGCACTCAGGGTCTCTGGAAGGAGACGCCAAGGAAGCGTCTCCAGAAAGGCAGGGCTGGGCTAGGGAGACCCGGAGACGAAGTCGCGCTGAGGCTCGGCCAGGAGAGCAACAGGACTGGGAGGGACGGTCGCAAGGGGGACGTGACGGGAGAGATCCCGGGGAGGCGGGAAGACGGACGGGGGCTTGGGGCTCCAGGGCGCCCTGGCTGCTGTCACTGGAGGGAGCCTGGGGCTCGGAGGGCTCATGGGGGCTGCGGGGCCAGAAAGCAGAACCAAGGCCTTTCCCAGGAGGAAACTGCAGCCCCACAGACGCCGGCCCCACAGGAAAGCACGTGATGGAAAAAACACAAAACTCCTTCTGGGGAGAGTGAGAAGTGAGGCCGTGAGGTTTCCTCAGCCCCGGGACCGGGGGAGGGGGGCATTTTCCAACCGCAGGGACGGGGGAGGGGGCCGGTCTGTCCGCCCCACCTCACCCCCTGCCCAGAGGAGACTCGGCGGAGCCCCAGAGCTCTCGCCCCACCCAGGGGGCCGGGCCGGCTCCACCCTCCAGGCCAGGCCAGGGCCCCGCCAGGCACAAGGCTAAGCCCCTTCCCTCTCAGGGCCCTGGACGAGGAAGTCTCCATGCAAATGTCGGGCTGCCCACAGGAAGAGAGCCAGCTCTTCAGAGGCAGATGCAAATCCCCGCAGGCAAGGAGCCAGCAGCAGCCACAGGCAGGAACACCCCGGCCTCAGAGAAGGCACCTCCCACACATTCCCGGGGTCAGGGGGTGAGGCAGCTTCTTGGCCAGGGTCACCTGCAAGGGCCTCTGAGGGTGACTTGCCTGGCCTGAACCTCCCTGCCCCCTCAGGCTCTCCCAGAAGGCCCGAGCTAGGCCTCAGCCCCTTGGGCCTAGCAGGCCCTCTTCCAGCTCCGCACTGGCCGACCCGGCTTCCTCTGACCAGGCTCAGGGCCAGGCGGAAGTGAAGACATGCAAACCTGCGGGGCTCCCGGGGGCCTCGGGGACAACAGCCCCATGAACGCTGCAGCGGGAGAAGAAGATAAGAGGGAGAAGACAATGGCGGCAGAAAAGAGGTTTCCCGCGATGGGCACAGGGCTTCCCTCTCAGCCTGATCCAGTTCCACGTTGCGTTCGTTTTTCGAGTCGGGGGCTCACTCGGCCGCCCAGGCTGGTCGGAGTGCAATGGATGCTCACGGCTCGCCTCCTGGGCTCAAGCGGCCTCCCGCCTCCTGCCTCCCGCCCCGGCCTCCCAAGAGGCTGGGACTCCAGGCCTCCCAACTTTTTGACTTTTTCGCAAAAACGAGGCCTCGCTGTGTCTCCTAGGCGGGTCCTGAACTGCTGGGCTCAAGCGACCCTCCCCTCGGTCTCCCAAAGCGCTGGCATTACAGGAGGGAGCCACCAGGTCTGGCCTCCGGTTGTACGTTTCAGTCAGCGACGTGACCCAAACTATGGGTGCAAGTTTGGAGGCGTGAGTCTCGGAAAGACTGAAGGCCTACAGAAGCGAGGTTCAGACCACTCTGCCCACTGACGCTGGACACGGCCCCGGGAGTCCGGGCGGAACAGCCCCGGTGGCGACCCGGCTGCGCTTCGGGCAGGACCTGCCACTGGGCTATGGGGAGGCACACCAGACCCCTCGCCCACCATGCCGGGGAGCCCGCTGGGGGCCGCCAGCCCAGGGCTGAGGCCGTCTCGCTGTGGGGAGGAGGAGGGCGCAGACGCGTACACGCCTGCACCCAGGACCGCGCCGGGCCCTGTGCACATGTGGCCACGCGACGGCCAGTCTCAACGATCGGGCCTCGGCCAAGGGACTGGTCCAACTCTGGCCAACCCCGAGGACAGACCCTCGCTCACCGGGTTTCAAGACGAGCCGGGCTCCGCAGCCAGCCTCAAGACCGCTCTGCCCGCAGGGACCTGCCGGGCGGGCTGGGCAGTGGCAGGACGCCACCCCAGGCCCGGGAGGAGCGCTCTCACTAGCCCCTGCCACCGCAGGGCCTGCGGGCCTCCTGGGGGCGGGGCCCTCACCTCTCGCTGGTGGGGTCGGAGCAGTTGAGCGGGTACTTGAGGTGGATGACGGTGCCGTCGCGGTCCTGCAGGACGCCCTGCTGCTGCGTGTAGTACTCCACCAGCTCGGCGAGCGTGGCGAACTTCTCCCCGCCGTACAGGTCGTAGAAGTCCCCCGAGTTCTGGATCCGAATGTGGGTCAC